GTTATGCTAAGTGCAGAGTATCGACAAGAAAAAATGGGAAAAATATTAGTTCTGGATGGAGCGTTGAGTGATTAATTGACTCTCTATACTCCATCACTTAGACCACTAAGGTAAGTCATTTTTCACAGTCGCAGATTTCGCTTTACAAGTGTATTTTTTAAGGTTGCACCCCACAAATTCTTGGGTGCCAGCCTAAGGTTCGGAAAAGTCTTTTGGTACCGTACCGTACACCCTCCACGAGCAGCCTCCCTCGTCGATAGCACGGGTTCCCACTGATGTTCTATCGAGGTCCTGCACTCGCCGAGTACTCGTGGTCCGATGAGAAAGCCCCATGGCTGTTTACACTGTTGCTATGGGATATCGGTAAGGCACAGTGACACCATGTATTATATTCAACAGCGGAGGTAAATCTATTGCTCCGAAACACAGACAAAGCACACTCTTTTACATTCACTTTCAGATGCATTCTGTTCGCTCCTGGGGGAATTTTCTGTGCTCAACGCCCATTACCGGGATAACCTAGAGGAGAGCGAAATTAAATATCATGAAATCAAGCCAGCCACAAGCAAGAGACAGATAAAATAACAGTAAAAACAGTGTGAGCGTGTATCCCAAAAACATCGCACATTGAACCTCCAGGATACATCCCGCTCGAACAGCCAACAAAATTTAAATCACACCTTGGTCTAAACCGTCCAGAAAAAAGAGCTATATCTTGTGACAATAACACCTTCTCTTAAATACCGGGGGATTGAAGAGACACCTTCGGCCCATGTTTATTGAATATGTGAGCCGGAAGATTGTCCTTTCTCTTGATCCCCTTATCCCCGACTCTTTCGCATCCAGGGATAGGGCAATCCACACGTATATTGAGATGCATCGCCTCGCGGTGGCGAGTCAAGGCTTGTCGTGTGGAGAATGGAGATGGCCAAGTGCAACTGGGCTCGCAGCAAAAGTAACTCCGCCTCTCAGGGCGAGTTCGTGGATCACTATTTGGTGGTTAGCGAGAGGGTACAGGAGCGGCATGAGGTGGGAATTTTAGAGGCGGGTATGATAACCGACCTGCCAATAGAGCTGTTGGTGCGTGCGCCGCTAGCGTTTTGCGGTTGGTTAGTTGGAGGGTCGGAGACCGTGCCTTCGCCGTAACTTATACTTGGTTTGGGCGCTGAAGCGGTTGGTGGTGTAGTAGGTGAAGAGGGTGCTTCTAGCACAGAGTAAAACCCTTCGGAGTCAAGATAGAGCGGGAGACTCCTGAGTCTCAGAGGCAATGATTTTGGATGTCCAGAATCTGTATATGACACTAGCTCGAACTCCCACAGGATGGGCGGGAACTTTGTTTTATCTCCTGGATCAAATGAAACAAGGGAGTCAGCGGTAGCTCAAATTTGGAACGGGTGGGTGGTACGGACCGTGTTCGGGTAGGTACACAACCCGAACGAATCTCGCAAGCACACTAAGCGATGACTATTTGGCTCAAAGTTGGAGCGGGTGAGTGGCACGGACAGTATTCGCGTAAGTACGCAACCCGAGCGAATCTCGTCAGCACACTAAGCGATGACTAGTGCCTCTGTAAACCAGAAGCGGGGGCCTAGGACTATTTAACTTCTCTCCCCTTCCAGGTGATTGTGCTTGTCCGAGCTGGAATAATGTCATAGAAGCTGACACTCATGGAAATCCTGAGACATTTCATATGGGCACTACAACCGCCGAACCACACCCGAGCAGGCCGCGCACGCCCCGCCATAAAATAGTACAGCAGAACATAAGACATTGCCAAGTGGTGCAGCATTGCGGAGCTGAGGCGTGTCAATGGAGAGCCTTTGTGGTAGGGTGTAAGGTACCTGCACTAGATTGGCCACGGGTACCCCACTTCCATACTCCAGTCGGGAAGTTAAGCAGTGAACATAGTCGTATTGGCCAAGCCGCCATAGATATCCATTCCTGCAGTTAGGCTGCTCGAAGGACTCACAGAAATTCTCCACTTTATAATAAGTAGGCTTAGCTGCATTTCTGGAAGGGCAACTCACCGGGAGTGCTTACGGACTAACATTGGTGGGAGAATGCATTGACGGAACACTTATGTCCAATGATTAAGCAAGTTAGAAAAACGATATTGCACACCCTCTTATCCCCCCTTTCGCCAAAAGCTCCGACAGCTCAACGCCCCCCTCAGAATGAACCTACGGGGAGGTCAGATTTATGAAGAATTATCATATGCCGCGTTAAACGGTGGAGAGGGCATTGGGAGCAGTTGAGCTTTCTAGAAAATCCACCCAGGACATGGGAAACTTGAAATCCCGTCATCTTCTTCCGAATCCCCCTTTGCTTGTTCACTCGTATTATTCCCAAATCTTCTGAGACCTACTGCGGTACTACTAGCCCTTGAATATTGTCGCGATTAAATATAGGCTGATGGATAGGAATAAGTAATCAACCCAAAATTTACACTGCAAGGTACCCGTGGGAAGCTTCTATGCTAGCGTGTAGTGTTTATGAGTAAAATTCCCCACGAGGTAATCAACTCTAGGTTGATTCTATTTTCAAAGTTGAAACTGGTTTTCGGATTTCGCATCCGGACATCAAGCAACTTCCATCGGGTGCCAGAGTGGCCAGAGCGCGAATAAGCAGGAGCAGTAATTGCGGCGGAACCAGGGCCACCCCCGAGGCGGCATTTTCACCAGAGGAAGCAGGGAGGCAGGCAGAAGCAGGGTAGGTGAATTCGAAAGAGGTGATAGGGAGAGAATTTCCCGTGATGCCATGAGGAGTGGGGCCCTAAAGGAGAGGTGAGCGGGGCGCCATGCATCAATCTGCAGCTGCAGCAAAGCCTGGAGTGAGATCGCCAGAGCATCGTGGGCTAATATATATCAATGGGTAAAGTAAATTTTTATGATGGGTTGCCAAACAACCGACTCAAGAAGGGCGCGTCAAAAAACTAGACGAACTAGCACCTTGGAACTACTCTACTCATACAGTAACAGTATAAGTCCTCACGGGCATGCATAAGGCACCAAGGCATCCCCACTCCGTAAAGAGAGAAGGCACATTTTTAAAATTTACCTAACAAAAACAGGGAACCAGAATCCCATCTTTCCGAACGCAAACAAGGCCAGATAATTGCGCAATCGCGAGCATGAATTAGACGTGGGGTAAAAGAAAGTGATATCAGACGCTACTCAAAAGTCCTTGGGTACCGTATTATACTAGTCCAGGTACCGTAGAAAGGAACACCGGTAACCGCGGTTGCGTGAATCCGACAGGGCCTGAAACTCGGCATCTGGTATGCGGGGGTCTCGCGCTCGCGAACTATATTCCGCCATTGAGGTTGCACAAAGACGCAGCAGAGCCTGAGACATTGCCAAGCACTACACACGCTGCCGACCAGAGCCTTGTGTGACGTGAAACCAATGAGGGATCGGGTGATATAATACAGTATCGGAGAAATCACATTCCATTAAACACCGGAATACCTTCTACGCTACCCGCTAGCGCACCAAACATACATTCACGAATTTACGCCCGAGGCTTCCTCTCTACGTAGGCTCTACCATACGCAGCGGGTTTGAGCTGCGGGGCCCACCGAAGGCGATGGTAAATGGAGAGTATGAACAAGGAAAAAAAAAAAGACAAAATATTAGTTTAGATTGAGCGATGAGACACACGCAATGATTAATTGACGCTTTATACTCTATTACTTAGGCCCCGTTTACCTACAGATGGCCGTACCGTCCCAGCGTAAATCAAAATTTTACAAGATGCAATGTGAGGGCTTTTGAACTCGCGATTCCGGGTCCCGGCTTGCTCTCCCTTGCAAGCATTGCCGACCGATTAAAATATTGGGCCCAACTTGTATCCTCTACATACCACCTGCAATGACTCTTCAAGAGTCCTTCCACCTATTCTAGTGGCTCTTTTTTGGTTGTTTTGACATCATAGCCCAAATCTCTCATGGTACCATGCAGAACAAAGACCTTAAAAGTAGTCCGCAATGGTTGCAGTTCTGATGTATTTATCCTAGAACCACTGGAGTAAAGAAAGTAGAGGATTGGCAGTGGCGGTATGGCCATTGTGGGCATGACAGGTCCCAGGCATAGTGACAATGTATCAATTTTTGAGGCCGACGGTGTTGCTACCGCACCTCTGCAGCAACTTCTCATCTTGGCCATCAAACACCTAAAATTGCTGATGGCTGAAAATTAGGTAAACACATTTGGCACCGTCAGTTGCAACACAACCCTGAGCTGACGGTACTGTCAACGTCCACCATACAAATTTCAGTAACCGGACCGTTAGGTAGACGGACCCTTAGACAACTAAGTTAAGGTTTTTTCACGGCTGCAGATTTCTCTTCTAAAAGATCATTTTTTATGGTTTCAGCCCACAAATTCTTGGGCGCCCGCCCAAGGTGCCGGAAGGTCCTCTGGCGCCGGTTCCACGAGCAGACCTTTTCGGTAGTAGCATGGGTTCCCGCTGAAATGTTATCGGGGTGTGACATCTATGTATTCAACGGCGGAGGCACTACTCAAGACGCCGGATTGAGGTCCCGATTTCTTGGTGGGCCACCGCCAAAATGGGAGCGACTTCAATCCGGGGACTTGAGTACGGTATGGGCGGGGCTCAACGAAGAGGGGGGTTCGGCAAACGATACACTACAGGGGTCTTGACAAAGGGTGGTTTTGTTTAGTCTGTTCATTGAGCCCCTCTGTTCCCTGACCCCCCGCCTATGTTGAATCTATCTCTTCCAAACAAAGACAAAACACATTCTTTTACATTTACTTTCGGACGCATTCTTTTCGCTCTCTGGGAAATTTTCCGTGCTCAATGCCCATTATAAGGATAATCTAGAGGAGAGAGAAATCGAATGTCATTCAATCAAAGGCGCGAAGCTAGCTATAAGCAAGAGACGAATAAAAAAAGAATAGTGTAAGCGCGTATCCCAACATTGCAAATTGAACCTCCGTGAAACATCCCGCTCGAACCACCAAGACAATCCGAACCACACCCTAGTCTAACTCACCCAGAACGACTTCTATCTCGTGGTAATAATAACTTCGCTTATATACCGAGTGATTGAAGAGACACCTTAATCCCATGTTTCTTCAATATGTGAGGGGGAAGATTATCCTTCCTTTTAATACCCTTATCCCCGACCCTATCGCACCCCGGAATCGGACAGCCGACGCGCATCTTGAGGTGCTTCGCTTCGCGGTGGCGATTGAAAGCCTGTCTAGTCGGAAACGAGGATCCCCAGGTGCAGCCGCGCTCGTGGCAGAGGTAACTCCTCCTCTCGGAGCGTGTCCGTTGGCCGCTGCAAACATATTAGAGAGGGACGTATAGCAAGAGGTATGGGAGGGTGCGGGTTGGCTAGGTGGAGAGGTAACGAACCTGGGAACGACATCATCATTCAAGTCATTATTCAAGCTTTGCCGACGAGAAGGAGTGGCGCGCGGGTTTTGGCCTGAGAAGCTAGAAAGGTCGGTAATCAAAGGGTGAATGGTAGAGTGGCCATCACGGTTAGGAGGAGCGACTGCTGTCCCGGAAGTCAGGGTTGTAAGGTCAAGTGGACCGTTGACAGAAAAAAAGCCATTATCATCGGGAAAGAGCGGCTGGGAGCCAAGGCCTGTAGGCAGAGGTCGTGGCGTTCCGAATTCGCCAAATGAGACTAGGCTGATCTCCCGTGGTTCAAGGATCGTGCCCGTTCCACCAGCCGTGAGCCTTGCGGGTGGGACGTCGGCCTCGCGTCCTCTCGGCCGAGGGATTGTTATACTACCGGTAGGCGCCCAATAATCAGCGAAAAAAAAAACCCTACACGTAATCCATGTTGAATCCAGCAGGTGTTGCGGTTATGTAATCTGCGCCAAGAGTGCAAAACCACAGCAAACATGAAGCAGGACCTTCATGAAGGCGAGGGGGGAGAGGGGGGCTCTTGTATTCCTTGGGGGGGAAACTGCACTTTGTTATTGGCAGGTATGGCAGATTTCCACCAAGTAGCCTGAGACATATTCCATGAAGACTCTGCCAACGAGGAACCATACCTGTATTCTAGCCTGCTATGTACTCGAGGATAGGTCTTCTATCGGGATCAACAAAGTTCTTGTAGGCCGAAGGGCACAGACTCGCCCACTGAGTTCCAGTGCCCCTCTCGGTACTGTTTTCATTTGGAAACGTCCCGGATGTCATCTCTTCCTCTTGTTCACTTTGAAGAAACTGACGATAGAGCGTACAATGCCCCCTGGAGACACCCCTAAACGGGTTTCTAAAAGTCTCTTTTCTGGTGTACCGGGGGTTGTGGGTAAGTCTGTCTAAGTCCCGCCCGTTGGCTCTAGGGCCGTGCCGACCACTTAGAGAGCAGCATTTGCTCCAGCCATGCTCCAGCCCCTGTGCCAAGAGTTTGACAGACTTTTTTCCTTCACCAAATTGTGAAGGAATCCACCAATTATGTGTTCTTGGTGGCCTCCATACACATACAAACTCGGCCTATGAGAGCAAAGTTCGACAGACTTTTGCGCACACCCTAAGTACCTTGTAGCAGATTTTCTTCTTGCAGTTCAAGGACTTGTATGGGAACTTTACAGGTACCATACAGTACACCGCATGTCCAATCGGGCTTATGGCGTGGTCACGTAATCTGGAAAGCACCACGAGGAACCAGAAAAACTTTCTGTGAAGTAGAAGGAGGGTGAACATGAGAATCACATTGCCTTAGATGCCTCCACCAATCATATTGTGTACGGCGTGAAGTGTCTGAAAACGAGACACGGGCTTTTTTTTTAGGGTAGAGTGGTGATATAACACAAGCCGCATTTCCAGATATCCATTGCCGGATACGAGTACGGTACTCCCCCCCAGTTCCACGCCAAGTAATGCAACAGTTTTTGCACTGGAGCCTGAGACTCACCGCATGCGTGGATCCTGCCCTTACAAGTCATTGCCAGCTGCTCAAGCTGACTGGAAGCGCAGGAAAACCTGAGACATCGCCAAGGGCGGTACCGGTATCTGCGATCGAGCAAAGCCTTGTGCGACCGGTGAGCAAAATATGTACCGAGTGGTGATTCGAAGGAAAATACAGTGCATACAGCACTGGAAATCCTTCACGCGATTGGCTGGTGTGGTCGAGCAGACAAGCGCCAGATTTTGTCTAGGGTTGTGTTTCTGGAGGGGCTCGGGACCAACAAGAAGGTGTGGAGGCGTTCTCGGATCTTACCAGATCCAACGGAAATTATAGGTGGAGATTTTCACCGGCCGGTCGCGCTACCGGAACGGGCTTCTGCAAAGCCTTTTTAACGGCTCTTTTTAGTGAATTCAAGGTTGGGGAGTGGAAAAACTCAAAACAACTCGGGAGAGTATCCGCGAGCAAAAAAGAAAAAGAAAAAGAAACTCACACGTGATCCATCATGAATCAAGTACGTGTTGTTATGTAATCTGTGCAAAGAGAGCCAAACTACAGCAAGCATGATGAGGAACCTCCGCGAAGGTGAGGGGAGGAGAGGGGGGTTTTTAAATTGCTCGGGGAAGAAGTTGCACTTTCCCTTAATGGTTAACGGGGTGGATTTCGATCGAGTAGCCTGAGGCATATTGCATGTAGAGTCTGCGGGCGCCGAACCATACTCCAGCCTGCTATGTACTCGAGTTCGAGGCTAGGTCTTCCGTTACTCGTCTTCTTCACGATAATACTCACACTGGCCCTAGAGACATCTAGGGACGTTATCTAAGGCTCCTTACTAATCAATATTGTTCGCGGCGTGCAAGGAGGGGTATAGCGACTTTACGGATACAGGTCCAAAATATCACAAGGAACCAGAAAAACCTGCCGTGGGGCAGAATGGTAAACATGGAAACCGACTTCCCTCCGGGAGACACCGGTACCGTCAGATGCACTTATCCAAATCGGAATACTTGAGAGTTGGGTTTGTGGGAGCAAAGGGCGTAGCAGCGGTCACATTTTTCCAAAAGATGTAGTGGGGCGGCGATTAAAGCACATGTAGATTCTTTCGGGGCTGTGGTTACCTCTTGTAGGCACGGCTGATGTACCCACAGACCCAATCCCGGGCTAAGTTATGCGCCGGGTTCTGCACAAGAGCCTGAGACTTATTGCATGTGTGAGTCTTATGAGTGCAGTTGTTGCAAAAGATTCAGGCAGAGTAGAGCTACAGGAAAGCCTGAGACACTTCTAAGCGAGGTATCCACGGTCTAGCAAAGCCTTGTGCCACCAGTGCCCCCGAGTGATCACCTATTATTTTTAGAAAATAGGCAGGTGCATGATGAGCTAGGATCCCTGCCACACCATTGGTCGATAGGGAGCCGGGATGCTGTGCAAGTGTTCTGGGATCTTACTAAGTCCAAAGGGACATGTTCACCGGACGGTCGAAACGCATACCCAAGCTTCTGAATGCCCTTTAGTAGCCCTTTCCAACGAACCAAGGTTTGGACGGTGAACAAACTGGAAAAACGGGTCGGGGGAGTGGTGGATGCCCCTCCATACCGTAGGTCCCCAACCACATAATCAGCGGCTCGCTTCGGGCGGTGCCAAAGCATCGAATTGAGTTCCCGCCCGCTCCTTCTAGTAATATATACCAGCCTCAATATCTACCTCGAGTCCCATTAATGTAAACGCTTAGAAGTAGCGGTCAAAGATTTTGAAAGGTGTTGTTTCATTGATCAATAGTGAGAACCTCTATGAGCAGGCATTATAACTGACAGGTGCTGAGATGATGGCCGCAATCCGGAAGGCTGAGTGGCAGACGGCGAGGGTGGAGGAGGAAAACAGACTATCACAGGGCTCAGCGTTGGGAGTGAGCACGCCGTGAATGAAGCGCACAGGGGTTGGTACCGCCACCACCGTGGAAAAGCACTGTCAGAGCCACCTCGTGGAAAGAGAGAAAATACAATGACCGGAAAACTGGCAGACATTAAGAACGGGAAATGAGATATATAGACTTCTGGATAGCTAACATCTCCGAAAATCATCATAAGGTAACCTCCACAGAACCGAACGAAACATAAAGAACCTATGGGAACAAACTATGATACCTGGAAACACCGTCACGCTCCGTGATTCTGAACTACCCCTCACCACCCCTCACCACCCCTCACCACCCTGAATCACCCTGCCCCCCGCAAAACCTGCACTCCTATGCCTTGCACCGACTAGCAGAAAGGACGAAATAAACCAAACAAATACCCTAACCCTAATCATACAGGACGCGGGGAGGAGAACAGCGACAATCCACTCCTCAATACGCTAGCACAGGGTACCCGCAATAACCCTTCCGAACTCCCGAACCTCTGAACTGCACCACATACCATATAGCGACCCAACAAGGAGGAAATAGTTGATAGATGGGGGAAGGAGAATAGCGGCAAACTTAGTCAAGAACATACAGTATTAAGAGATTTTAGGTAACGTATCGCAGATCTTGAAGTATGCTATTACGAAGTCTTAGGGTAAAGTTATGCGGGAGCCAGGCTTGTATATTGTGTGATGTGAGAGTTTAATTAACCTCTGAGAGTCCCCCAACTAACCGATATACCAACACCATATTTTGATCAATGTTAAAGGTGTTGTTATCGGATACGGTAAGTAAGAGGTAGGCCGTAATAAACCCTCTCGGGGACTATGGGTCTCTGTGGACCGTTTGCAGCACAGAATCGTGTTATTATAGGAGGTGGCGCTGCTAACGGCGACTTACTCCAGTAGCAAAACCCAAAGAAGCTCCTGGATTTCCCAGAAGCTGAACAGGTTCACACTCGAGTGGGGTTAGTACTGTGTTGCCAAAGGAAGTTGAACAGTAGGCTATCTCGTTGCAGTTGTTATCCTATCGGGCCTCGTGTTTTTTTGTTGAAAAATACTTTTTTTAACTCTCCAACACTGCCTTTCTCCCTATTATAAAACACCGAGTATATTTTTGATACCTGACACGCGCTCAACCTCCTCTGGAGAGTCTAGGGTACGTAAGTCCCACAGGGGCGGTATTCCTTTTCAAAAATGCGGGAATTGTTTCTCGCATCCGGTGGAATCACATCGCATATATCTTCACAATTATTCCCTCCTTACGACTGGGCGGGTATTGTGGACCCACTACCGCAGTACCAAGCTCCCGAATGGATATTTGATTCCCTTGAGAGAAACAAAATAGCCAGATATGAACACGATGCGGGTGGTCAAGCACAGCTGAACCAGAGCTCTCCTGACCAATTTTGCTCTCTCCCCGCACAAGTTCTTTCTTTCCCTCCCCATCGGGCATCCGTACCAATATGCAACTCAACCAACGGCAAAGCAAAAAGTGGGTATACAGCCACTAGACAAAAGTCTGGGTGATGCTGAGTCAGTAATTACTCAGCCATCTACAAAAGTAAAGCGCGTAGATATCAGTGAATGTGACAGCAAAATGCCAACCAAGAAGAAGTCGGTTACACACGACAAGCCCAAGACGGGTCGGAGAGAAATGTCAGATGTGGAAAAAGGCATGATAATTGCCTTTTTCCATATCTTCGAAAAGATATCAGTGGTTACGATGCTTCTCAATCGCCCGTGGTCTACTGTCTGCAATTTTCTCACCTGAGCATGTGATCGCAGCCACATTGACCATGCTCCCCATTCCGGAAGGTTCATTATCCTCAGTCAGAGGGAGCACCGTGCTATCGTCCGCGCACCCACAAAGGATCGGAGCATGACACGA